GAGCCTCCCTCTAAGTGCTCGGGGATTGGTTGGGCAGCAGACAATGTGGGACGCTCTCCCTGGACAATTTCGTGCTGAGAAGATGGTCACTTTCTGCCAATAGCAGTCCAGCATTACTGCAGTGAGACTTGGCAACACGGTGGACAGACACAGAGGCGCTACTGTCTGCATTTGCTGCCCATTCCTAGTCAGCCCAGAGTCCCAGTTATCTGCAGCAGGTCGGTTAGTTCTGAGCAGCATTCCAGTGTCCTGCACAGAAAGGGTTATTTCTGAATCGTCTTTTAAAACAAAACATTTGCTGCAATGCATTTTGCCTCACGTCTTTCTGTACACAGACTTGTATAGTTTAAGAGTGCTTTCCTCCAGGTGACTGCACTTTGTTGTACACTGTACCGTGATGATGCCGGGATTTTCCACAGTTAGCTCTCTGTAAGGAAGGAGGATTACAATCCATGTCCTGGATAACTGGTGTGTCTGAAGGTTTTCAGTCTAACTGGGCTCCCAACTCATTATTGAGTTAATTGGACATATTTCACAGGTTCTTCCAGCTCTTCCAGATGCTGGTGCTATAAAGAGACCCTGAGGGCCAGCAGAACGGGGACCCTAGTCTAAGAGCCTCCTTCATCATCTCTCATCAGACCTTATTCCCTCTGTTGTCCTTACTGTTTGGTTTTATTTTGTTGGGGAGTTCTGTGGCTGTCAAAGTTTCCCCAGAATCACCACGAAATCGGTGAAATATCTCACAGAAAATGTATTTCAAAGCCAAAGCAGCAACATTTTCGATACATAGCTCCTTCAACTGATTTTGCAGGAGACACGCAAAATTCTGGGTCTGGGAAATTACTCAGGAAAAGTGAAATTTATGTGGAAGAGAAAAACGATAAATGGAATTTTTGATGCAATACCATATATTGTATCCCACACACAGCTGTCAATCTGGTGAGAGAAGTGACCATTACATTGCATGAACTTCAGCTGGCTAAGTCCCCTAAGTCACTTTTCCAAAGGTTGGAGTCCTTTCTTTTGCAATAGATTACTTAAGCCTCCCATGCCCTCAATATCTGTCCACCAATATTTGATATTTGTGTGGCTGGCACCTGTCCCAGGAGTTTAAAGTTAGTTACCCTCCTCTTCGTCCCACAGTGCTCTAGCTAAGTGCTCGAGAGGATTTGTGTTACAACCATCTCTGTCTGCTTCTATACAGTAGATTGTTTGCCAGTCTGTCTGGGTCTGTCTGGCTGTGTGGTTTACCAGGCACTTGATTTTTTTATTTCTTTTCAGTTTGTTTTGCATTTTTAAGATGGTTCCATGAAAAACAAAACCTCAAGTATGCAAAAAGAAGATCTGCTCGTTACCACTGTGACTATTAAATGTCTTCGAAGAGCTCATTTATTCCAGTTAAAGGACTGTACTTAAGTCTTTTGAAACAAAGTGCAATAGAGTATGATTTTCAAAGCTCCAATCAGGTGCTATTGACACACTTCCTTAATATCACTTTATGAAGCTAAATGACCTATGTCTGTGTTAGTTATACATTTGGAGCCAAAGATGAAGAGCATCTCTGACTAGCTGTTCAATCGAGAACGGTGTCATTGGCCTACTATTAAGCAGTGTCCCAATAGTTTGGTGTTTTCTGCAAGCAGTGATATAATTAAAAAATATATGTTGAAAATTTTCATTTCAATAAGTAAGGGCACTATAGCTTTGCTCACAGGGCTGCCTTCTGAACCTCAGAAGCAGATAAACCATTCATCACTCAAAAGCACTCCCTGAAACTCTTCATACATACTGGAAGTGTTTTATATGGAAAACCAGACCAATACTGTATACTCTTCTGAGAATACAGAATGCCCCAGTGTGGAGTCTGACTTTACGGAACTAAAGCATTTCTCAACATATATCCTAGGTAAGAAAGAACTGGAGTGATCATCCTTATGTGAACCAGGGTTAGAAACTAGAACACTAAGTAGCCCACGACAGGCAAGATTCTGCAAGTCAGATCAATTATCACGCACAATATATTTACAGATATTGCTGAGATGGCCAGAGCCTATTACAGTAAATATTTAGATTGATATTGTTCCTTGTTTTAAATATCTGGATACATTGATAGGACACTAAACGTCTCAAACTACACAGGTTTATTAAAAAAAACAACTATGCAGAGATTATTTCTCCTGGGAAGGCTGAGAAGCTTTGATATAAGCAAACACACCCTAGAGCTTGCCTGCACAAGTCTGGAAGAGAGTGTCCTTTATTCTAACATCTCCACTTGCAGTGGGAATCTTAATGTCAGGGGTAGAGTTAAGTTCTAAAGGATTGCAAACAAAATTACAGAACCAACAGAGCCACATCTATACTAGGAGTATTTACAGGAAGGCAGTGTTAATAGAAAACGATGTCTCACATCCACTACACTCCAAGTTTTAAAAGGTGTGATCTGGACAGCATTTCAGAACACCAAAGGTTCCAAACAACATTTTAAAGAAGTTATTCATTCTGAGTGCCTTTATTCCCTTAAACTGTGATGTAAGAGCCCCTTTACAGAATTGCATTGACAGCACCCAGTTCCCACTCGAATCTTATGTTTTTGTATAATAATGGTATTTTTATTTATATTGATTGCATACATCTGTAACATTCACTGAATGTTTTATGTTCTCTGTATATATACTGTTTTTATTGTCGCCTCAGTGAGGCCAAAGGGAAATTCCAATTGTATGTGGACAATGAAGTAGAATCTGATTTGGATTCTGATGATGGTGACTAACAAGAATGCTGCATGTCCTTTCAAGTAAGGTTATATGAAGTTATGTGGGTAAATACTTTACTGGACACAGACAGTTGCTGTAAATAAAACAAATTCTTTGTTGAGTTGAGATTCATTGTAGAGATCATTGTTGAGAAATTGGTGACAATTTCTTGACTTTTCTTCTTTTGTATTGATGTTTTTAGATTAGTTTTTATGTTTGAATGCTACATGGCAGTGAAATGAAATCCATGAAGTGTAGGCACTTCTTTACACAGGGTTGTGGAGTTGTGGAAGAAGCTACCCATCCATGAGTCAAAGCTGAAACTCTGATTGGATGAAAAACTTGGTTTATTTAACTATCAAATGGACTAGATGGGCCAAATTTTCTCCTCTTGTCGGTAACCTTTATTATGTTACACCCAATATCAAAGACAATAATACATGTTAATGAATCTCTTTTCTTGGGGGTTGATTTCCTGTTGCCTCTGTGTTGTGGTTTTATTGCCTCAATATAAAATCAAAGTAAGAGGCAGAGTAGGTCTTAAAAATCACCAGTTCAGTCTTATCCACAGTTTGCATGTTTCTGCAAAGCCTTTCAAGTCCATAAAAGGAGAGTGCAGAGTTAATACAGCCCTCCCTGGTAATGACTTTATAGGTGTCTTGGTGTCAAAACAACTTTCTGATGCCTGTTGGCACAGGAGAGAATTTGAAGTGTTAAGGAAACCCACCCTTCCTCTAACCACTTAACATAGGCTCTGGCAGATCAGTTTTTCATGACATTTGAAAAGGCAGAAATTGCTTGTAGTTAGGGAATATGTGCTCAGTAGCCCAAATGTTTATATCTGCCAGTCAGGGCAAGGCAATAGGCAAATTTCAGCATGAGGCTAACCATTAACTTCCTTGGCTAGATCTCAATCCTGGACAGAAAAGGTGGAATATGTAGGTCAGTTCCATACATCACTGATCTCGCCAAAACCAAATCTGAAAACCAACCTGCTACAATTATATTGGGCTGTACATATGTCAGAGCTTTGTGGAATATATGGGCCATGGGCCATGGGCCTACTTAAACTGTTCTTAAAGCTCACAGAGACTTAACATGCTATTTAGTGTATATTCCTAATATATTCCTAATATTTTGGCCCTTGTTCATAGAATTAATGCTAACAACTAATAATGACTGAACAGCACTAAACATAAGTATATACAGGAAAGTGCAAAAACATATCTGTGTTAATAATGCTGTCTCCAGCTGTGAAACTTTACCAGCAGGAGAAAAACCCGTTCTTTCAAAGCAGATAAACGTGTGAAGAAGGAAAGTGTCGGGGGCAGGGAAAGACAGTATTCTCCAAACCCTTTCTTTACATTATAGGACGTTATCATGAATCTGTTTTTAAGGAGAAACCATTGCAAGAGGACGTGATGGGATACAGTGCTGTATTGGATCAGCCTATCTCTTCAGTGGCTTAGAGAGTCTTCTTCCATGGCAAATTCATTAATTAGTTATTCGTTATCTCTAAATTACATCCGTACGCTTGAGTCTGTGTTCCCTGCAGTGGATTGGTGTCCTGTCTAGAGTCTTGTCCTATCCTGAATCCTGTGCTTCTGACATAGGCTGTGAGTTGCTATGACCCTTACTGGGAATAAGTAGCCTTCTGATATCATGTGAATTCAGACTGCTTGCTTGATATAAAGATTAGAAATCTTTCCAGACACCCCAATAAAAGAGCCTATTGTGGGTGCCGAATTAAAGATATATAATTTGAGGTGAAAATGTTCCAGGTTTCTGGATCTGTTACCACATTTTCTCTGCTGAGCTCGTCTGGTGCTTTTGGTCTTTTTCTGTCTTTCTTTCCCTCCCTCCTCCACACACTCCTGTGCCTTTCCACCACAGTGCCGGGAAAGCCAGAATTGCGACACTTGGCCCCTGATGTGCACTGGGCATCATATCCAGACAATTTCCCAAAGCAGACAACCCCCCTGAACTCTGCACAAAGAGCACTCCGCTCTGTCCAGCCAGTATCCTCTAACACTTATGCCTTTTGCCTTGTCATTACAGAATTGTAGGTCAGTTTACGACGAACAAATGGCAAATAAGATTGGCCTCTTTTATAACAAACAGTATGCAGGAACACAGACACTCGTGGGAGATGGAGAAGTGTAGGAATCTTGACCCACTGAGGACACAAAGCACAGGTGGCTGCTCCATATTAATGGATGAGTGAAAAGGATGAGAGCAGGTCCTTACCTGCCCCAGAGGTGTGCAGAACACCTCAATTCCAGTCATTCCGCAGGTGGAGGAGGCTTTCAGCTGAGTGGCTCTGCCGATGAGCAGGTCTCCCGTGGAGGGGTAACAGGCACCCTGAGAGCAGTCTTGCTGGGCCAGAGCCAGGGCAGACAGCGCTGAGGCATAAAGAGGCACATCAGTGGTCAAGCAGGGGTAATACATGAATTCCTTAACATCTCCACTACTGCATTTCTCTACGGTCAGATATGCATTAACCACCCAATCCAAAGGACACCCTTTGCTTCCCAGAGAGGAGGGGGACCCAGTTCATCCACCCACCTGAGTTGGACAACACACAGCCACCGTTTCGCACCGGGAGGCCCTCTCCACAGAGAGTCAGGTTTAGAAGGGAGAAAGTGCTTCACCAGTTGAGTTAATGGGGAACTGTAAGCAGGCTAAATTGAGCAAGACTAGAGTGGAATTTAGCCAGGACATATCGGTTAAAAGTCTGCGCTTATAAACAGTGTCTGTTGGTTTTTTTCCAGCGGTACTCTTGAATATTTACTCGAAATTCAAACTTTTCTAACACTTTACTCATCAGAACTTTAGGAATTATTTTCAGTTTTATTTTAAGTGCTGTATTAAATTTCATAAGGAGCTTTAAAATTCTGTGTTTTTTAAGTGCGGGGAACAAATGGTTCTAGTCTGCCAAATAATTAGTTCAGTTAAACAGTTGAAGGTCAAGACTGAAAGCCGCTGGTCATAAACATGCTATGTTTAATAAGCAGAGAATATTAATGTATCAGGTTAGGTCTGGTAATTCCATCACAGGCTAACAGTTGTGACTATTTGGCAAACGTTTAAAACTGAGAACAGAATGCACATCTTCACACAAAGTGTTGTGGGAGCCTGGAAAAAGCTTCCCAGTTATGTGGTTGAAGCCTATAGCCAGGTTTCTTTTAAGAAATGCTGAATGAGACCCTGAGATTGATTACCAACTGTACTAACTACCAAACTAGTTAGGTTTCCTGAATGTTCTTATGATTGGAACTGTACTTATTTTACACTCATAATCAAAGACAGGTTACATGTATATGTGATGCTCATTCCATCCATCATGTTACTATTAATCTAGTATCTGATTTGCACGAGTCTATATAGACTGCTCTTTGCTGACTTTATCTACAATAGCAAATTAGCTACAAACGTCAGATCTGAATTCCCAGATGATAGTAAAATTTGGAGGATTATAAAATAAATCACTTACCTACTACATGGAGTAGAATCCACATCTTTATTTTTATTCTTAACCAACACCTGTAATTAAAGTAATTAAATATGTTAGTACAGTTAAAGTCACATGTTTTGCTTGTACTGCATCTCCATTTTTTAATAATTTAAAGATGGAAAAGTACAATTTGTACAGGCTAACCTTACTGAAAACCAGTAATCCCTACGGGATTAATAAAGTATTATCTATCTATCTAATTCTTATATAAACCTAGGGGACAAAATCTGGGATAAGAAAAAAAAAGACTCTTGGTTAGACTAAGGTGTGAGTTTCAGTACAAATGTCCCAAAATAAGTGTTTACATTTGTTTACATTCATTGCAAAACTGGACCTACTGTAAAAGACAGAGGCAGAAGACAGATCCATACATATAGCCTAGGTATTCAGACACCTATAAGCAGATACAAAGCACTTACCAGCTCCTAGTGTTTTAGTTCCTGCAGTACTTGTCAGCAGTATCTTGTGTGCTTCTCAGGTATAGTGCTCCTCTCCACCTCCTGTCTGTATTTAAGACCAGCCTCACCTAAGCCAGGCACAGTGATACAGGAGTGTGTCAGAACCCAGCGCAGACAGACCCACCCTTCCTTCCAGCAGCCACACCCTGCCCAGCGCGATAAGGAAGACCTAAAAAGGTCCAGGACTCATCTCCAAAGCAGGAGAAAAAAAGGGGAGAGCAGTGTTATCTGTGCTTTTGTAGTCATCTTTAAGGTAAAGGATAGCTCATTCGCTGAATGCTTACAGAACACCTGAATGTGACCAGACAAATCCCTAGAGTATGTAAGGCGGGTAGCATGCTTAAATATTAAACCCTAAAATTCCATGAAGACAAAGAATATTTAAACTGCTTGTTTCTGCTTAACCAAGCTGTTCACACCTCCCAGCGTTCTTGTGGCCAGACACACCCTGGCACTGCTAACGCAGTCACACTCCAGACCCAGTTCAGACCTGTAGGTTGCAGCGTCAACACTGCGAACACTTCATTATCATCACAGCTAAGCACAACCAGCTCCCCGAAGGCCTGCCAGGAGGGAAGAGTTTTCAAGCCTATCTCAGCTGCCTTGTCTTGGCCTGTGTCTTTTGAGCTGATTGCTGCAATTCCACCAAGCTATTTCGTTTTCTTTTCAAATGAACTGTGGAGAACTGTCTCAAAAGTGAGACTACAGACTTGTGCCACATTCATCAAAAAATTCAACCAAAATGAAACTGGGACTTATAAAATGAGTAACAGTGTTATTTAGGTTTATTCACTGACCCTCGTCTTGAAGGGCCACACCCTCCATAACCCAGAAAAGAACAGAGGTTGAAGCTACATGAGCACTTTGTTAGGAAAAATCAGCATAGTTATAATTGGACAGGAATAAAAGTATTGCTTTAGAATTCCTTCTCTTTAGGGATGTAAAGTGTGACCTGCAAAGTGAATTGGATGGATGTACCTATAGTTGGGCAGGCAGACAGAAACAGCCAGACACAACAAACTCAAACAGTGTCGGTGTATCCTCCCTATATTAACTCACTGTGTACACAGTACCTTGCCATTTATCCAAAGGGAAGAGATCATATGAAAATGTTATCTTTGAAACACAGAAACCTTTTGATTATAAATCGCTGATTATAGGTTGCTATAGGTGATATACACAACCAATAATTCTGAATTGCTTTGAAAAACAATGCCTTTTGTATCCATTTATTTAAAAAATCAATAATAAGAGGATGAGCCAGGTACTAACATTCCCTCAGGATTGTTCATCAGCGTGTCTAATAAACGCCGCCTGGGGATAAGGAGTTTTCTATGCTAGCTTGCCAAGTTCAACTGATAAACCGTGTGCAGTTCCTGACTCACCTCCACCTCACTGCCAGACAGGCGCAGCAGGCCCAGACTCGGCCTGTCAGGAGGTGCCTGAAGGTTGCCAGGGCGACAGTAGCCTCTTTTTCACTCACCGCATCAGCGCCGTATCAAAGCCTCATTCTGACACGGCAGGGCGCTGTGCGTTTCCCCAGGGGGAGAGGCTGTTTACACTGGGAAAGAGGAAGCGAGGTGGGGAGTTTTACTGCTCATATCCTCCGGCACACCTCGATTCTGTAATGTGTGAAATACACTGTGTACACTTGATAAGCCTCACAGGCTGACCGCACGTTGCACACTGCAGTTATCTGGAGAAAAACAGGGAAAAACAATCCAGCAGCTTTCAGATGCTCAGCTTCCTATCTTCCCCTGTTTCTGAGACCATCTACTTTCTTTTGAGTTATCTACTGATTTTCTAAAGTATTTAGGGCAAATGAAAGGGAAAATATAACAACTTGATATCTAGAACTGAAAGAAGTCTTTATGTAAAGGGTGGAGAGTGTTTGGGACAGGAAAGCCAGCCATACAGTTGAAGCAGATTCTGTGGAATCCATCTTGAAAGTGCTGGTTGAGATCCTCAGAACAGCTGAGCTTGTAACATTGGCTAGACAGCCTCCTGTTTGTAGCATTCATCATATTCTCAAATCATTACAGCTCTCAGCTGATTCCATGTTGTAAATAACCTGGTACCATTCTTGCGCTCTGAAAAGTAATGTGAAGAAGCACAACAGATTTTTTTTACATTACTTTGAGGCTTCATTCATGATGGCCAGCTCTTAGTTTTCATTGGAACCTTTAGGATTTCGTGCAGCGCTGAGTAACTCCATCTTCCACTCTCTGTGTACCTGGATTGTACTTCTGCACCTTCACATGTGATGATGACAAACCACTATTGCAACTGACAATGAATAGCATTGTAGCTGGAATCTGTATTTCAAAATAATTGTAGTCAATTTCTTAACTGCAGCATCCTTCCAACACTGTCTTATACTGCACTGCATCAGGGACTTGAAAAACAAAGTGTGTTACTTTGTTCTGCATACAGGATCACTATATCTTTTATGCTACATTTCCAAACACAAGCTTAATCAAAGATCTGTGGTCTGTTTATTAGGTATTACTGGCAATGGAAGGCTATCTGCACTTACTGAAAAGCCAATGAGTTCTCCGCTTTGTAAACACAGGCAGCACACAGCAGGCATTTCACATAATAAAGGGCCGTGTTATCAGCATGATTGCAGCTGCCTTGCAGTACAGAAAGGCCAGGCACCCTCACCTCATTCTGTCCAATGTGCACAAGAAAGTGTTCACGTTGCAGCGAGCCGACTCTCACGGTGTCTTTCACCCACACTGCAGGAAAGGCAAAAAAAAAGAACAACACTGTTTGAACTCCACAAGGACACAGTCGTCTTTGGGAAGGGGCCAGACATTAATAAAAAACATTCATCTTTACAGTATGTTCCCTGTGGGCAAACGTAGCTCAAGTAAAGAAGATATTACACGTGATTTGCCAGCAGTATACCCAAGAGGAAAACCAGGCCTACAGAATTTATCATGGCTGCCTGTACAGCGTTGTCCGCATAAAAATATGTTTCGAAAGTAGAGCGAGGAAGGAAATTGAGATTTATTGTGTTGAATAACTTTATGCACAAACATCAACACAGCATGTCACTAAATAAACAAACCTGGACTATTGTAAGATATAGAAAGCTTGAAAGGACTGTATAGGACTGCACCACAAAAACACTGCTGGGAAAAACTGAACCACATCAAGAAATCAGGCACTGACAGACACTGAAAATCATCTGATTGCTGTCAATAAAATGATTGGCTCTGCTGCTGCTTTATGGGCTCTCAGTGGTGTCTTAATGTTAACATGGTCATATGCAGGGAATGTCCAAGTGTTTTTATTCTAAAAGCTTCATTGTTGCCTCTGTCTCAAAGACCTCCCTTATTTCTTTGCTTAATTTCCTTGATCTGGGGACTTTCCCACTACAACACGGGAATTTTCTTACTCACATGTCTTAGGCTGAATCACTAACTGCATCCTGGGGTTAATCTTAATTATTCACAGTTTATTTAACTTTTTTTTCTAATGAATTCGTTATCCCATCATTTTATATGTTTTAGAAACTAAGCTGCCCTCCTCCACAAATGAAGAATGTCCAAACTAATTCATTAAGAGACTATTAATATTTTTCTAACTTGGATAAAACCCAAGGTTCGTAGCACTGCATACAAATAATTACATTAATAAAGTGCACTTATCATCACGGCTGTGACCCTCACCATAAAAATTGAACTGAGGAATGAACATATGATGTCCTACTCAATTGTTTGAATTAAAGCAAACGCTAACTGTGTAATTTGAAACAACCACATAAGAAACACAACTTTAAGTGAGTTGGAAAAAAGCAGCAGGCAATTGATCCAAATAAAAGCTGGCACTGAACAAAATTCCAATTTGAACATCAAAAGCAGGATCTTTTATTCTGCACCGTGAAATTCTGGGTCTGCAAAGAGTTGTACAGACTCCAGCTTTTGCAGAGCAATGGTTCATCTGGCCAGATGAGGTTTGTGAAAACTGGAAAGAAGCAGCTCAATTCGTTTCCATGCTGCCATGTTTGCTCTGTCCAGATAAGCTACTGTGCTTGTTCAAAACACGGGGCAGCAAATCTATATATGCTGGTAAGTAGCCTAGTTGTGCAGCCACAGACAGTACAAGCTAGGAAGTTAGAGCTCTGACAAGACAGAGCAAGCCAATCCTGTTTGCTTTTGGTTTGTTTGCTATGCCCACACTTGTGTGTGTACCTTAATAAAGTGCTGGAGAATTCCAGGTCATTTTTTGACTCATTTTGGGCTTCTGTGTTTTATAAACACCCTACCTTTAAAAGGCAATTCAAAACGTGACCCCTTATATGTCACAGAATGTTGGTATACTGTACATGAGATATCATGACATTTTATGGTACACAGGACAAATTTAGAAATAATGTCAAATTTTCTAGGTCTGACTGTAATGTCTTAATGCAGTTTTAATTGTGGTGCCTGTTGTAGATAGGAAAAGCTCTTTTAAGAACAGTGCCTAGGTTCTTGACATTATTGATGTTAATACTTCTTTTGTGGTAAACTTTAGCACATGGCAGACAGAGATGAAAAGCAGCTGCAGATTTATTCGGCACACGCTGGGAGAACACGACGTAATGACCTTCACCTGACAATCTCTTCTTGAAGTGGTTATGGGGTCAGTGCCAACCACTCTTTATCTCACGCAACACAAGGTAGCGCAGAGTCATTGAGCTTGAACTAGTTACACATATCAACAAATCATAAGGAAGGCTTTGCATTGATTGATTAGATTTCATATTGTGTAGTCCTAGGATATATCCATGACTAGAGACAAAGCAATGATAGGTCACTTGGTTTTTCTTGATGCCTAGAGGTGTTTACTTCTCTGTTCTTGCTATGTGTGACTGTGATCAGAGACAAAGAACAGTCAACCGAATTGTCCATTCTTTTCATCATGCTGAATTGGCTAGCATCAAGGACAACTCTTCCATTGGCAAGCTGTAAACCCTCAGACCTTGTAGAGATGGTGAAAAGATTCCCAGCTGGTGTTTAGTACAAAAACAATATTCATCTTTCTTGTTAAATACTGTCAGTTTTCTAAAGGCTATCTAATTTACTACTTCACTACTGAAGGACGATGCCTTGGTCTTTGACTTGATGCTGCAGATTCAGATCTCATCATGCAGTTAGTGCAATATAAAACCTAGGTCAATGGGTTTGCCCAGCTGTCTTACTTAATCACTGCTGATACGTGTCCCCTCTCGAAAGACTGATTGCCAGCATGCAACACATGAGCCAAACTGAGAGGAGCACAGTGTATCAGCTTCTCCATACAGAGGTAATTGATTATTGCACTCAGTTGCATCTCGTTTTGCAGTGTGTTTATGAGTAATCAAGCCAAGGGCTTGTGCTGGGGTGAATGGAACAGGGAGCAGATGGGCTGGTAGGACAGATGAACTGGCTGACTCTTCGGGTGCTTTGAATGATGAAGCCACATTTCCCATGTGGGATCAGGCTGGATTTGAGACTGACGGAAACCAGCTCTGGGACACCTTGAGCATGAGCTTCGCCTCTTCTTCAATTAGAGAAAGCCATAAAAATGGGAGGCTTGAATAGTTCCCTCAAACCTTGTTTAAATACAGTAGGTCCCTCAAACCTTAAGAAATCTTTATCATGAAGGGTATCTTCAAGATTTAGCAGGGTAGCTACCTTTTATTTTATTCAGAGTCCAAGTTGATTTTTAAAGCATTTTGTACAAATGGCTAATTGCTAGACATGTTGGTACACATGAGGTCATACACAAGCTCTACAGCAGTATTAACAAACTGTATATTCCAGCCATTAGAAGAAAACTGCTTCTTTCTGACAAGCGTCCTTGAAGCACAGGGTGCAAGCCGGGGTGCCAGTTGATAACAGGGCACATGTCCACACACAGGGACACATTCGAGAGCACAAAATCTAGAGGACACAGAATACACCCCAGTTTTGTAACCAACCACATACCCCAAAGATGTGAGGCAGCAGAGATAATTGCTGTGCCAGCCAGTTTACATCTAGGTCTCCTGGCAGTTTTGTTAATATTTTAAATTGTCTCTACTAAGCTCTTAGAATTTAACCCCAAAGCAATCTGCCCAAACTATAAAACTGTGGTAATAAAAATAAGCAAGCCTCTATGGCACATTTGAAATAAGATAATCATAACAACATTGAAAGAAATGTTTTTGACTTATTATCTAAATAGATCTTTCGTGAGCAGACCTACACTATGTGCAAAGTGGAAATTATTTATCCTGCAGACACCTGTCTTGTATGGTGCTTGTGGTATAGAGAGTGATGCTGGATTTTGAACCTCTACAAGAACAAAATCCCCAACCGATCATTAAAGGACCTGGATTAGAAGATCGTTTGAATTTGTTACCTGGATCCTATTGTATCATAGCATACGTTATTTTGGATCTTAAGGTTTCTTACTTAAATCAAGATAGCCAGCCCCTATACTTTGAATTATATTATAGAATGAATCTGACATCATAGTAATAAACTTCTGAACAGAGTATAATTCTTGGTCTCCCATCCCTATCGTTGTTTCAACACTGATCATTAGCGAAGGATTAAATGTTGTAATGTCTGCACAGCAGACCAAATCCCAGAATGGTGACTGATCTTTTCCTCTTTCCCTTGATATAAAACAGACCATCCGGATATATTGTGTATTTATTTCCAGAAGCGTTAAGTGGTCATCGAGTATGGGTTTTTCCAGCCAGGATTCAAACAGTGGTGAAGTGATGAGGTTGGACACTCCAATGCTAAAGACCATAAGGTACCGTCCATTAACTGTCACCTGACGGCAGAAAACGTCTTGTACCACGTCTGTTTATGACTCAGATATTGCTTCTTCCCAAATAAAAGTACAGTGCCTGAAGAAAAAGAAAACCCTAAACTATAAATGTACAATACGGGCAAAAGAAAGGCCAATAGATGGATCACATGAAACATTTATTTGCCCAAGGAATCACACGGGGAAAAGGTTGCTCTGAGAGTTTACACAGGTACAATATAAGAAACGTTCTGCCCAATAAAGAGCAGTTGTTTCCATCTGCTGTACGTTTTAAGTGCAGCCTCATACGGTACTGCCCGCCCGTGTATACTTAAACTACGGTCTTGTTATGCTGCGTCAATGAGCCACAATCCACAGGGACGTTTTTTGACGCGAACTGGGTGAAAGGTGAGCCACTTGTCGAGGGTGTCGGGTTTGTTTACGGCTCGTCTTTACAACTGGAGTCACCGGGTTTAAAGCCCGAGTGACGTCACCGGGCTTCGGATTTCGCCGGGAAGCTCCTGTCCTGCGGAAGCTGGGGGGAGGTACTTGATGTACAGAACTAGCGGTGCAACAGGCTCACCACGTCCTCCGCGATTCACTTTTTAAAAAAAAAAACAGACTAACAGACGAAATGGAATTTCTGCTATGCATGTTACATGCTGTACCAGAGTAATTGCAGCAAAAACAAACAAAAAAATAATGTTTGTACAAAGTAACGAGTTGCTATACAGTTAAAGAACAGATAAAAATGTGGCCTTTCTTAAGTGAAACACTTAATTTCCTTAAATGTCTCTTTCGTCTGTGTAACTGGTTGGTGAACAAAGACTTTTTTTCTTTATAAACCTCAAAAGAGACGGTTGAGACTAGTAAGCCGAGTACGTGCAGCAACGATTGGGGAAGACCTTGTTTTACTGTTAATGGCTAGCCTTTAGCCTATAAATAGACGAGCGCACACCTGTTGCCATATATTTCGTTATAATAAGAAAGAAGGATACAGAGCGGTTTAGACTGGCTTGTGTACAAGCAGGGGAATTAAACAGCACTTTGTATAAGGGAGTAACCGAGACACACAAGAAAAACACAAGAATAACAAATCTGTAAGATGTGTGTGTGTGTGCTATTGTGTACGAACAGAGAAACCTGTGGGGGTTACATCATCTGGATTCCCACTTCACTCCACTGGTGTTTTCACACGAGCTTAGATTTGAAACAGGTCGCAACAACTGAAAACGTAATAACCGCTGATAAAAACTGTTCTTTTTTCCATTCTTTGTGAAACGTACGCACCCCTGCTCCATTTGTCTTTAAGACGCTATGATAACCAGAAAACACAATGTAACGAGACTGTAGATGAACATCAACCCACAAAAACACTTGATCTGTATCTTGGTGGAACACATACGCTTTCGGGGTAAAAATGGAAAAAAAAAACACAAAATGTTCATTGACTGCTCTCACGCTGGCCCAGCTCCAAACTAGCATTTGACCGCACAAGGTTAGAGAAAAGAAATTGTTACAAGACTCTCTTTGCCTGCGAAAGCTCCCAATTAATTCAGTTTATTGATTGATGTGTGAATTACACTGCACAATGATTTCACAGTGCACAAACAGGTAAAAGAGCAGTTTATTATAGCACGAGTTAGAATAACGCGAGAGATAAGCGCCTGTTTCCACCACTTCGCAGTAGCTGCACGCTTTGAAACAAAATGTATTGCCACAAATCGTAGGGCACTTTATTAACCACTAAGACAAATATCAATATGTTTTGACCACGGAAAGCGTTATGCATGCCAAATGATTCCAGATCTATACTTTTTTTTTGTTTGGCCGCGTTTAACAATTTAGGGTTTGGAAATTGACATAAATATCCGAACACTGCACTTACAATAAGATTACAGACCTATTATTACACACACTCAGAACGATGTTCCTTATTTTAAAATGTATTTTAAAACATCGTAACAGCTCGGGGATTCCTTTGTTTTCTACGGCCAGGCTTTCCCGAGGAGTGAGTACGTGAGCAGCTACACGTGTGCATACAGCCCCTTGCTGTTGAAGATCTTGCAGAAGGTGCTGTTGTGGAACAGGGGCTGAGGCTGTGGCGGTAAAGTGGGGGGGTCTGTTTTCAATGCACTGTCCAACCAGAAAGAGATAACTTGAACTCTCCGTGTCCAGCGAAATGTCACTGAAACCGGCTCATGCAAACTGCGTGAACATTGCATGGCCAGTCCATACACCGCCCAACTCATGAATAATTGAGAGCAGCCTACTCAGTGGGAGTGGCCGGAGATCTCCAGCGCTTTAAATGTGAGAAGCTCGTCTCTCGGTTTTATTCATCATCGTTGCCAGCGATAATACTAGAAACGAGAAGGACATTTAAGGATCCAGGAATTATAGCAAGAAAATAATTGCTTAAATAATTTGGTAAGTAAGAATTTTCGCATCGCCTGTTCAGAGAAAGATTCGTTATGTTCCGTTTATTTTTTAGTACGGCAGTCATATTGGGCTTGTAGCTTTGTAGGTTTCATTGAATCATTGAATGAGAGTACTGCCGTTTCCACGAGCTTTTAAAGTGATTGTTTCCACCTCCGAAGTCAAATACGAATGTTTTTTCACGGCGATGGTGGGAGAAATGCCTGGCACTTAACGCGCTCTGTGCAGCAGCCTGGTGCCCATTGATTCTTCTAGAATATTATAAGAAGCTCAGTGTTTATTGTGTAACATGTGATTTACTCGGTGTGCACGTCGAGTAATTGGCATTGCGTCTATACAGTTGTATAGAAGCCATGGCGCTTTTTAAATTCTGCTTTCTCTGCTTGTCTAATAAAATCTCCCCCTCTTCTCTGCTTCTGCAGGTGAGCCGCGCCATCGCCTCATGGAGACCATGCAAGAGCTGATTCCCTTTGCCAAAGAGATGCTGAGCCAGAAGCCCAGCCGGAAGATGGTCAGGGTGTACCTGGTGGGCAGCGTGCTGGCCTTCTTCGGGGTGGTGATTGGGCTGGTGGAGACGGTGTGCCAGCCGTTCTCGTCGGACGCGGGCGTGGACGAAGAGATCCAGCGCCTGGCTGAACGGGAACGCCGGGCGCTGGAGGCAGAGGAGAGACGGGAGATGGAAGAGATCGCCACCTCGGAGAACGACCGAGTGGTGAAACCCAAGCGGCAAGTGATCACCGGACAGAGGAACGCTGCCAACCGGTTGCACGCCTCCTAAAGACTCGCTGTTAGCAACGAACTTCATTACTACTGCCATACCGCCCGCGATGCACAATATGTAAACGCACTACATAAGCTGAATCTTTCAAGTCCTCCTGACCTCCCCCGAACTGCAATGAAGACTGAACTGAAAGGTCGATTTGGGTATCTGATAGCCCCATGAGAGTTCTAGCTCATGTTTCATGAATGAACAGAAATAAGATACGCCCAGCTCAGCCCAAATCAAAGACCACTTTATTATCGAACTGTCGCTGCTGTGCAGCAATGTGCATAAGAGTTGAGTTGCCATGATTTCATGGCCTTTGTGACACACGTCGGTACACGTGTTACCTATTCAGATGAAGATTTTTATACCGAAAGAGAAATATATATTATTTCATATGCTGTATTTGTATATTCTTGTTTTGCACAATAATAAATGCATATTTTTTATTTAAAATTGCGACTCAAAAGAGTGATATTTTTGTTCAGTTAAAATATTCATGAAAACGTGGACTTTAGAGAACTAATGCAACACTTTCACACATGTTTTCCTGCTGTCTTGTACCAATGCCATTAGCAGTCTGGAGAAAAGATGCGCCTTTTTGTGTTGCTGAAAATGTTTTATCGCACTTAAGTAAGTCTTATTAAAGATGATGTGCTTTTTTTAGTATTTTGATTTAGACATTTTCGGAAAGCATTACTTTCAAACATTTTTCAGAAGAAAGATATTTTTCTTAAAATGCATTTTGAGCAATCGCTAGTAAACTGTGTCATGCGGACCTCATCGCAGCCAAGCCTTTATTTGTCAATACTTCATGTATTCTTTCTCCTAATGCTCGGATTATTATAACCCAGTATAATGTTTTAAGACCCTGGAGGAAAAGGGGACCCCCTAATGGAGTAAAAAGATAAAGCAGGATAGTTGCCTTCGAGCGTGCAGTTTCTGGACACCCCACTGGCTGCAAGACGAATTACATTTCACTGGTGTGAGGAATGATCAGTTCCAGAAAAAAGGCAACTCAAACTTTTCTTCTGAATCCTTCTTTCCTCCTTTTGCCTGCTTTTAAGGGTTAATATAGCTCTATAAACAGGCAGAAGAAGACTGTAGCATCAGCTGAGTGTTTCAAACACTGGACAGTTTTTAGGAACTTTGTATTGATGAAGTAGGGTATTGTTTCACTCAAAGAATTGCACTTCAGTGCATTGTCTCAGGACCAGGAATGGAAAACACTGGTCTAGATTACAGCAAAAAGACCGCCACACTCACACACCAACTGCAAATTACAAATCCAGTAGCAGGCAGAAATTATTCCATCAGACAAAAGAGTTTCAGTCCCACTGCAAACTAGGGTGCAAACTGAGAACCTTCCATGTGTGCAATTTGTGATTTTGTGGGTGGATATAATTTTCAATTTGATATGTCAGAGTCTTAAACCTACATTTTTTATCGGTTTGTACCTTAATGTTGATAAATTCAGAAAATGGTAAACAACTACGTGTTTAGAGGAAAGCCATTTTTAAAACAAACCTTGTAGTTCATGAGTGTCCAATCCTAGTCCTAGTCCTGTCTGCTGGTCTTCATTTCATTCAATTAAGCGAAACCAGCTGTCAGCAGTTTAATTAGACTGGCTTAGCAGCATCTCCCAGACGAGCTGGTGCTGCTCCTTGAAAGATGCTTTGACAACCGGTAGAGAGGAGAGGTAGAGAGGGTGTATCTCCTTGTGGACAGACATTTGTATTCGTTTGAAAGAATGTGAATCATGGGAAATGTTTCTTTTTTTGACTTTGTTGGTGATATACTTTGTCCCGGGGGATAAAAACAGCATTGATATAAAAAGAAAAACTCACATCGGGTTTTAGAGTCTGTTAGGTCTCAAGGACCAAAGAGGGTGATTCTGTAATCGGAGATTTGAATTCTTCTCATGTTTATCCTCTGGGAACGACCTTGAAAAAGAGCTGATGCTCCAGAGAAATCAATGGTACTACAGAGCTGCTAACTGTAGTACAGGGGAATATTGGGAAATGATCAAAATGAAGTGATGATATTGCAAGCACATGCACCTTCTACATTTCTGAGCTGATGCCCTTGTCGTAAAGTTCATTCAATGGCCATACAGTTTTCTTAAACTAGAAAGGGTGACGCAGACAGCCCAGGTGATCCCTGGTACAGAACTCCCCTTCATCACAATAGCTACACCACCCGCTGCCTCAGAGCGACAAATAATATAATCAAGGATCAAACCCACCCTGAGCAGCACTTTACTCCCCTTCCTTCTGGGAGAAGATTAAGGAGTATATAAGCCTGAAACTCTAGGTTCAAAGAAAGCTTCTACTCCACAGCCATAAGACTCCTAAACTCCACCTCTTAAATCCTGCTGCCCCCACTTATACCCCTTGGTTTTTCCAGCCTCAAAGTACTGGCACTACTTGATTTTGCACACCAGCGCGATCTGAATGCTGCTGAAGATTATAGCTGCTAAAATGTTCCTGCCTCCAACAGTTTGTGATGTCATTGTTTTGTGATGTTCATGATTTATTTTGATATAATGTGCCATTTCATTTGATATGTCATTGTTATGTCATTTGTCACGTGAAGAAACAGGCAAGAAAGCATTTCATTGTACTCAGGTACATATGACAATAAACCTGAAATTTGAAAACTTTAACCATTGTTTTACAGTTTTATGAAGAAATTGTTGAAAGAATGAGCTTCCAAGCACAGCTCCCCCACCCACGTTGTCTGTTTCAGAATTGTATCCTCTTTTTACCCGCTGTTGTATTTCATTTTCAGGGCACTGGACAGCCTGCTGCAAAACCCTGAGTCTGACCTTCTGATTGTCTTGAAAAAAGATTTGTCCTCATGCCTGGGGTCACTGAGACTCAGCTGTTAGATCAGTCAGTCTTACCAAACAGCATGCCTAACCACATTAGTGCTTTTTGACAGACACTTAAACTCTTATCTACATTTGACTATGATATATAAAAGGTAGACGAATTTCATTGTGGCAATGTTTTTGTAACAGGTCTGGTAGAAAATCACGCTCACCATGATTTGTTTAGACATCTTTTGAAGCAGGGCCTCTTTTTTAGTCACAGTAACATCTTGTCTAAAACTGATTTGGAGGTCACTTTGCCAACGTTTGGTCAGCCTGAGCCCCCTTGTTTGGAAGATGACAGGAATTGTGGCCAGGCTGCTATTAGCTGACTCACAGACATTGAGGAATTTGACAGCTGCTCAGTCTGGGTTTGCCAGCAACCTTAAAGCTCCAGAACGAAGCTCCGAAAATCTCTTCTCAGAAAAGTGCAAATCAGAATTTGCATTATTAGACCTGTGCTCAAAGCTGAGCTTTGTATCATTATTTTGAAAATTGTGGTTAGTATATTTGATATTTTTGCTTCTGTATCTTTTAAAATATTTACAATGGACCAATAGTTCTAAATGTTTTGGAAGACTGCAGGAAAAGTGAAAGTCACTGAGGAAACCTCACAAATTAAACTTGGCTGCTGTCATCCCTCCCGAACTTTCATTCTAAATGCCATTAAAAACTTTGAAGCATTAATTCTTTATAATATTTCTACCCAGTTTGGAATACTCAGGTCTTTAAAACTTAACTCTTTGTGTTTTTTAAGTATAGCTTTTGTACTACACAGGAATATTGAGGGCCTGTTATTTATGGAAGGCTGCAGGCACCAATAATTCAGGATGATCACTCTTTTGCTGAAAGTAATGAAGGCCATGACCTTCTATTGCCCAACCTTCTCCTGACAACAGTTTGACAATTGCTCTGTACTGTCTGAAGAAGTCATGGGCAGCCAGTGATGTGATTTGAATCAGTCATTTCTGGGCCATAGAGCTCAACCTGTGCTTTTTGTGTAAGTGCTTTATTACTGGTCAGGCCTTATGGGAGTCGCCATAGGAGCTACACCATTAATCCGTTACCATCAGTAACCAATATATTATTAATCAATTACACCCCAGGTTGGAAGACAGGCTGCCTCTCAGGGACACTGAATGTGAATGGCTGGACGTGCACATTTAACTGAGAAAAACAGCAAACAGGGTGCAAAGGAGGTGTCAAGGACAGGCTGTGGCATTCTAATTACTGAGTTATTTAAAGTAACACTGTGGCAGGTTCAGAATCAAAAATAGGCATGAAAGCATGTGGCAGAACTAGGCAAACACAATGCATAGCGAATCCGTGTGTTACAGTGCACCTGTAGCTCGTCTCTTTTCTATAAATTAAATAATGCCAAGAAGCCTCACACGTGCTTGTGGATTGAGAGTTTCAGATGGTTTAAGCATGGAGCTATTACTGCTAGGATCTGGGGCTCATTCCCTCTGTGGTCCCAAGGAAGACGGAAGCTGGGCATCCCTCTTCATCAGCTTCTTGGAGGATGAGTGGCAACCTGACATTAGCATAGGACTAGACATACACGCATGTGCTTTGGATCACTTGAGATGACCTTTCATGGCTCACGTTTTTATTTCTTTATGTAGATTACATTGATGTAGAATCCTGGAACTGCCTCTTGCCTGATCTTCCTTCTAGATATTTGAAAACATCAATTAGATCTCATTTGAAAAATCAGATATGGCTTGGTGTATCACATATTAAAATCCGAAAGATCAGGAGTGTCCTGTCCTGGTTCTGGAGGGCCAATGTGTCACAGATTTTCTATGTCTATTTAAAACAGCAGGACCTGAAAAGCTGGAATAAGAAGATAACTGGTCCAATTGAGCCCATAACAAGCTGATTCATGTTGTTACAAGCCCAGCTGGACAGACAACCTGTAGACACACAGCCTGTCCAGGACTGGGAACCCTTGCAGTACGTGCATTAAAATGTAGCTGAATAAATGAAGGTTTGTAAAAGCCTCCAGCAGAAACAGACAGTGAGAGTGACAGACATGGAGAGAGTGACTTAAAGCTGGATCTTTTGGAAGTAGTATTATTGATGGTGCAGGCTTTGCTGTATAGTGGTATTAGTCCCCCCACCCTATCTATGGAGGGATGTTTTCTTTGAAAGAGTCACAGCTGGAAGACTCTCACCCCACCAGCCAGAGTTACCCCCATACACAGTAAAAGAAGGGCTTCTAATACTGGAGCTGTTTTGTGCTTGCCTAACCTTTTGCCTTATTCTGGGTCCGGAAAACCTTCTGCCTACTTCCACCTGAGGAAAAACAAAAACTCCCACTGGAGGAATTCTAGCTCATCCAATAGTAGCATCATCAACAATCAGCAAGTTGATACAAAAATAGTCTTTTTTCTTCGCTGGCATCCGATCAGGGACCCATTACAGCTTCTGTGGAGAAACTGTTTCAGAGTCTCGATCCAGCAGGGATGTTGAATGAAAACTTTCACCAGCTTTCCAGATATTTCAGATGTAGTAAACAAAACACAGCTCCCATAAGGTTGTAGATCTATTGCAACAAAGTTAAAACAGTCAGCACAACAAA